TAGTAGTAGTAGTAGTAGTAGTAGTAGTAGTAGTAGTAGTAGTAGTAGTAGTAGTAGTAGTAGTAGAAGAAGAAGTAGTGGTGGTGGAAGAGGAGGAGGAGGAGGAGAAGGAAAAGGAGAAGAAGGAGAAGCAGAAGTGGAAGTGGTGGAAGATAAGGAGGAGAAGGAAAAGGAGAAGGAAGAGGAGGAGGAGAAGACCAGCTGCTACTGGGAAGAATACATATTACGATAAGGCTATGAAAATGTGAAGTCGCATGGCATGGCATGCCCTTAATTTACTTCATTTGATTTCTAATTTCTGATCCTCCTCACATGGGCGAGACAGGGTCAGTCAAAGATGTGGCCCAAAAGCTGCAAAATGCCCAGATCTGCTCTATACCATTCCAGACAAATGGCTCTCCGATCTCTTCTTGGTGAACCTCCCAGTGATGGAGCCCCCACACAATTTCCCTTTCCTTACCTGGGAGGAGGTCCTGCACTTGGCCAGGCAGAGCTCAAAGTGATCTTCCACAGCCATGAAGAGATTCCGGAAGGCCACCGCCGCTCGGTTTAGAAAATGCTCAAGGAGCTGTTGCTATAAAGGCAATAAGAGGCAAATACAAATAAAAACCAGGAAGCTCACAAAAACCAGAAGTGGAGAAGGATTTCATTTCTCTCCTCCCCCCCTAAAACACGAATCAGTCAATCATCTCCCAGGAAATACAATGGTACCTCGATACTCGTCATTAATTGTTTCCGGAAGCGTGACGACTACAACCGCTAAAAACAAGTACCAAGTAATCCATGTGACTTAACACATGACCTTTTGTTTTGGCCAGAAAGGGTCACGTTTCACGAGGCAGCCGAAACTGACAAGTTCTACAGTTTGGCTCTTCCAGTGTCAAGTACCAAACAAATGACGAGTAGCGGGACAAAATTTTCACATCAAAATGCGACAGGTTTTAAAGCAGTTGAGTACTGAGGTATGGCTGTCTAGGTAGAATTTATGTCCTGATTGGAAAGTTCTGATGTCCTGGCTTTCTCCATGGTCATGTGACTGAATTTGGGGCACCTAGCAACCACACCACATTTATAGAACCCTGACATCCTATGACCGTAATTTATGATGTTTTCGCCAACTGCAACGCTTTCCTTTTTATCCCAAGGTCTTTTGCACATGCCCTTACACCTGTTTACCTTGTTGGGCTGTAAGCAACAGGACACACAGGCCTCGTAGACACTGCAACATCCACTAGGCAGGCAGCTGTCGCAGCTGTACAACTTGACGCTGGGTGCCTCCACGTTGCAACACCCGTTCACCAGCAGGTCCTTCCTTTCGCAGATGTAGCCTGTTGCAAAAAGACCTCCAGGTGAGGCCGAGCAGGAGGAGAACGGAATGCTCTGCGCCACAGCACAGAAGCCGAAATATTGGGCTGAAAACTGATTCCACCCAATTGTTGTGGCCTGCAAAGCTGGCAGCAGAGTCAGACAGTGAGGAGGTTGGGGAGGAACATGGGCCAGTCCTGGGGGGTTCAGAGGTGGGTTCCTACCAGTTCGCACCTATTCGGTAGAACCGGTTCGTCAAATCTACCAAACCGATTAGAAGAGGTTCCACCAGTGGACCTGGA